GACTGGTTGACCGGTCAAGTGGTCAACTGGTCATAATGATTACTTAGGCTTTTATATATATAGGTACTGTGATGGGTCTACATAGTGTTGTGGTTGGGAGTACGTACTGGCTGGGAGTCAGACTGCCAGGGGTTGGATCTCAGCCCTGCCCGTCACTACCTGTGTGATACTTACTATGGGTACGACTATAATGCTGGGCAATTTCTTTCTGTCTCAGTTTTCCTCATCTGTAAAATTGGAACAATAAATATGCTTATTTTAGAGGGCTATGGATAGGATCACAGATAAAATAAATGTTAGACATTAAGAAAAGTTAGCTATTATCAATATATTTCAAATTTTTTACATAGTAAGAGACAAAAGTTCCAGGTTGCCCTAATTGTTCTTATTTTATTTTATTTGTATATTTTATATAAAATATATAGGGATAGAGAATTATAAACATTGATGAGAGAGAAACATTGACTAGCTGCCTCCTGCACATCCCCTACCAGGGATGTGCCGGCAACCAAGGTACATGCCCATGCTGGAATTGAACCTGGGACCTTTCAGTCCACAGGCCAATGCTCTACCACTGAGCCAAACCGGTTTCAGCCTAATTGTTCTTTTTAGACTGTAGCTGCTTGGCCAGTGTATCCACCCCACCCTCCCCCTCATAAAGTGGGTGGGTGTGCACAGCTCACTTTTAAACTGTCCCACCAAGGTTAACAACTATTAGATTAGACCCTCTGTCCTCCTTCAAACCTGCTTATTTTTATTTAAAAAGTCCACAAATGCTTATGCCGTTTGTGGCCATTAATATACAAGTTCATTGATGTTTCTAGCTGATTTATAGTTGGAGTGGTCTTCTCTGGATTACATCTAATTTTTGCCCATTCAGTGGATGTTCAATTAAATGCAGAGAATTCTTGACATTTCGAATTTGCAAGGACACAGGAAGACAAACTAGAGACAAGAATGACACAGCGTCCTGCGTAAGGATGAACGAGGAGAAAGGAGGGCCAACACGACGCCCCATCTGTTAGACGGCCTGCTGGTTACTGCGACATGCTGGTATCATTTCATCACTGCATTGACAACTCAAAAATAATCTGGGTAGGCCTTTTGCACTGTTCCCACCAGAACGTTATTCTGATCTCATCCTCTGTCTACGTGATTGCACTTTCCCCGAATCATTTGACTATTTATGTGGATTTCTGCAAATAAGCCCGTGAGGCATCAATACACCAGCAAAGGTTTTCAGAAACACCCCCAATAATCCCTCTACTTCTGATGGGGGGAACTCCCCAGTGATGAGAAGGAGTGAGAACACTATTGGACCAGTATTAATAATGGAGTCTGAGCTTTTAAATCATTTCATGTAAAGCAGAAAAATCTGTAATCGAGCAAGTTATGGCAGACTGAACATTCACAAATAATCTGTGTGTTTAAGCTCACCTATGACTTGTATTTCATTTGGAGAACAATTTTAAAGATGAGCAAGACTTTGAACTGATCAACATACTTATATTACATTAGGCTTTTCCATTGTTTTATACACACACACACACACACACATATATATATATATATATATATATAAATATATATATATATATATATATAAATATATATATATATATATATATATATATATATATGATATATTTGGATATACACTGAGTGGCCAGATATTATGATCTCTAAATGCATAATAATCTGGCCACTCAGCATATATGTGTGTGTATATATATATATATATATAATTAGAGGCCTAGTGCATGAATTTGTGCATGGATGGATCTGTCCAGCCTGGCCAGGGGGAGGGGACATGGACAGTTGGCTGGCCTGTCTGCTGGTCAGACTTCTGATCAAGGGGACAATGTGCATATTAGCCTTTTATTATATAGGATATATACACTGAGTGGCCAGATTATTATGCATTCAGAGATCATAATACTCTGGCCACTCAATGTATATCCAAAGGCAAAGTTAGATTTAAGAATGCTTTTTACATGAATATACCAAAGAGACATTATCAGCCATGAAATTAAATATTTGCTTACAAAATAAGGTCTGGATGCATAGAATTCTGTGCTCAGCAGACGAAGAGTGAAAGATTGCTATTATTAATGGATTTTCATTTACAGCCCTGTCAAAATTATGTGAAAATATGTCTTTATCAAAAACCATTCTAAAGAATCATTCTCTATAAAATGTGTGTGTGTGTGTGTGTGTGTGTGTGTGTGTGTGGCTAAATCTACGGGTTAGCGCAAAGCTTTCTGGAGCAGCCTAATGAGTTTTATGTAAGTGGCAGGCTAACCCCAGAAAAACTTCCGACTGACTTCTCGCAGTAGGACTGGGATTAAAAATACATCTGACAACAGGCTTCAAAGAGAGAAAAAAACCCACTCGCAAAAAAAAAAAAAAAAAAAAAAAAAAAAGGCCATCAAGCTCTAATTTTAAGAACTTCTCTGACTCCAAGAATCTTTCCTTCCTACCAATAAAATCACTTATACTCATGGCTTAATGTCCTAATTTAAGAAACTCAGTGGTTGAGTGTTGACCTGTGAACCAGGAAGTCATGGTTCGATTCCCAGTCAGGGCACATGCCTGGGTTTGGGGCTCCATCCCCAGTGTGGGACGTGCAGGAGGCAGCCGATCAATGTTTCTCTTTATTGATGTTTCTATCTCCCTTCTTCTCTGAAACCAATACAAATGTATTTTAAAAAAAGAAAAGGATGACACTGAATTAATTTCTAATTTACATCCCACTTCTCTGCCTGTTTTCATTGTCCCGATAATGCAAACTGCACTGAACAATACAAACCATGTCTCATTTCCACCACGCACCCCACCAACCAGAAAGGAGGTGACACACTCTTATTTCAACGCAAGTGAGTTCTAAATGTGGATAATGTTCAGCTAGGCATTAAAAACCATTCTTTAAGTTTCTTTGAAAGGAGCATTATTCAGTCAGAGCACAACCACTGAAGGAAAAATGAAACCAAATGAAATCTTTTACTGTTTCAGTTAATTTTAGTGGAAAATAGAATAAGAATCGGATTTGCATTCAGGATGACAATGGTCCAGAAAGTATACAGGCTCTTGTCGAAATTATGTGTCAATTCTCTCCTCATCAAGGAACCATCTGAGGCTGTATTCCTGGGTCAACTTATTCCTGCTTCTCTTAGCTCTCTAGTCCGGTCCTAATATTAGATCTATGTTTCAGGGTCCATGACATGGATTTAAACAAACCCCTGGCTAAGTCTAAACAGAGGCGGTGACCACACAATGCCCGATCTACTGGCTTGTCTGGAAAGTGGCAGGAACTCAACCTTTAATGAATAGGACTGGATGCCGCCTAAATGTCTAATATAACTAACAAAATGGCCACTTTCAAAAGGATAAATACCTGGGTATTATTTTTAAAAGTTCACACCTCGCCAAAACCGGTTTGGCTCAGTGGATAGAGCGTCAGCCTGCAGACTGAAAGGTCCTGGGTTCGATTCCATTCAGGGGCATGTACCTTGGTTGCAGGCACATCCCTATTGGGGAGTGTGCAGGAGGCAGCTGGTCGATGTTTCTAACTCTCTTCCTCTCTGTAAAAAATCAATAAAATATATTTTAAAAAAAAGTTCACACCTGATCTCCCATCAATGCCACATATCTTTTCTCTTAACTGTTTTTTATACCAAGAGCCAAAGAGAGCTTAATGCCGATTCTCACATCCTAAATATCCACTCAGTCTGAAGGAGACCATCATCCCAGGTTAGTGGTTCCCAACATGGGCCCCGCGCCCCACAGGGGGGCAGTTCAAGAACGAGTTACTAATGGTGAATTTTTTGCATTCCTTATGGTTCTAGGGGCCTCCTACACAGCATCTAAATATATATTGTGACATATTTATACATTTCAGTTCTCTATTATGTTTTGAAACTTTATTTGCTATTTCTTCATATCACTTCATATTATTATTATTTTTTAAATAGTTTCTTAGTGATTTCTTCCTCAGGATTTCAACTATCCTTTCATTCTTTTTCTTTTTCATGGGTGCCATGGTTTTTTTTTTTTTTTTTTTTTTTTTTTTTTGAAACTTGTTTAGACCAAGTTCATGTCCTTTTAGGCTTCCTCCATATGAATAGGAGTTCACTTTTTGAATAATAAGGATTTTATGTCACGGGGCAGGGGGAGAGGGGGGATCAGGATTTTAGAGATGTTTAGATGGGGCCTGGCCAAAAATGGTGGGAATCAGAGTTCTAGTGAAAACTCTTCCTTAGTCAATCTTGGGCTTATCATAACTGGATATTCCTGCCTCAACAAGGTCAGAAAAATACCAACTTCAAGTACCCACAGCCACCTCTCTCTGTGCTAAGAGCCGCTTTAAGAACGTCTTCGTGACATTGATAACCTACTGATACACTTCGCTTGATATGAGACTGCTTATCGTTTTGACAAGTCTGGAAACACTTCTTTCCTCTCTCTCCTGTTTCTCACCTCTCTGAAGACTCTAAGTTGAAACAATGCCTTGGCAACAGAATAATTTATCACCAGGTTCGATTCCCATCTGTGCAATGGGACAGGCTTATCGGTTACCTGGCACACAGATCTAAAACATCTGAGAAACAGGAATTACCCCCCCCCCCCAACTTTATAAAAATGCCGTTTTTGGAAGGTATACTTACAAACAGAATCTTTTAAAATCAGTTTACAAGACTGAAACACTATACACATGTAGTCTCCTAATAATTTCATCTTTCAGGGGGAAAAAACTGTAATGGAAGCTCACGTCACACTGCTCCTTCAGATCCCTTCCATCAACACGGAACCACAAACACCCTTCGCCAAACGCTTCAGCTGCCAGGCTCTGTGCTTATGGAAAGATTCAGAAGATGACTATTGCACAGCGTCGACACACCAGAACATGCATGGGCTAAAACGGATGGAAGTGGATACACATTCAGGGAGCCATCCCAGCATCGGTGAGGTCCCAGTGCCAGGAGCTGTCGGAGCCAGTCCCGTCAGCCACAGGCCTCCTTCTTCTCGGCGATGATGCACCAGTTGCCATGGTCGTTCCCGGAGCTCAGGATGTGCAGCTCCGACACGTTCTCCCTCAGCAGCCCACACAGCTCGCCTTCCCGGAACACGTGATAGTAGCGCATAAAGGCCCCGGAGTCCAGCGCCTCCGGCTGCTGTCCTTCCACGGCCATGGCGTCGTCGGGGAGGGAGTCTGTGGAATCCAGCGTGGAAACCCTTCTCAGCATCCTGCGAGCAGAAGGCTGCCCTTCTCCTAGCTCGCCCGCGGCTGCACATGTCTCCATGGGATGGGTGCCCCCCAGACCCTCCCCGCCTGCACCTCTCCCCGTTTCTCCTCGGGGGTCTCCGCCTGGATGTCCCCCCATGGCTGGTGCTCGCAGCCACTCCACGTGCTTCTGAGACGTTTCCACAAACACGTCCTCATCGGAGCTCTGCTCTCTTGCTGACGATGGCTCTCGGGGATCCCTGTCCAAACTGATGTGTCTGGCAGGCTGGATGGAGACGGTGCTGGAGGCCCAGCCGTCTGTGCTGTTCAAGGATCTCCCTCTTTCCACTTGCTTCTGCAGACTGGACTCATCCAGGGATCTGGAGCAGAACCAGGAGCGAAAAGATCTTCCCAGCGTGTTGTAGAAGCCGTTCTCTGCCCTGGCCTGCTTGGAAACATTGGCACAGCACGTCCTGGCCCTGCCAGGCTCGTAGTCGGCGCTGTGGGACCGCCTGGCATCCCGTCGCTCCCTGAAGCAGACAGAGCAGGTGCAGCCGCTGGTGCCGGGCGGCGGGTAGGGGTGGCTTCTCTCCGGGCCACCCGGCTTCCTCCTGCCCGGCGGGCTGCCCTCGGACAGGAGCCGGGAGCACAGGGCCCGGTTCCACGGGACCAGCACGTCCTGCTTCTCAAAGCGCCGGTGCTTCTGCTCCATCGCCCACACGTAAATCATCAGCTGGCCTCCGGGCACCAGGATGCGGGCCATTTCCTTTATCGCTCGGATTCTTCTCTGTTTTGTTGAGAAATGATGTATCACTGGAAAAGGAGGAAACCAGGTCTCAAGGAGCGTGTACGTACATAAATGTACACATGTATGGGTTAGTATGTTCCATGGAACAGCGCTGCCATTTTGGCATGCAGTTAAATCTCTGAATTTTCTACAGGGTGGGGCGTACGGTAGAAATAGCATAGGCATGGCTTTGGGAGAGACATAATTGCTAGCTTTGACTCCTATAATTAGTAGACAACTGATCTTAGGAAATTATTTAACTTATATGGAAATTATTTAACTTATATGGAAATTATTTAAATTATTCAACTTGAAGTTTCTTCATCTGTGACACATGGAATGAATAATGTATAAAATCTCTCCCAGTTCGCAAATCCTATGAATTGTGTTAACCAGAGGGTGAGCAATGTGAATTGATTTAATCTGCAAGGAAGCACTAAGTTAGGTAAGTGCTACCAGTAGAATCCTGTGAAGTAATTTATTACTTTGATGGATGGCTGGTACTTCTAAAGCTCTGAAGGATTAATACCACTACTCAGTGTTAATAAAATTGATACATCAAATAGGAGTGGAGCAAAATGCTAAAATGTTTTCTTACTCAGAGTGCAAAGATAGCCGGCCAAGCTCAAGTCCAAATGATTGCTTACGATTTTTAAGAATGTTCATGTGATATAAAATTAGTTGAATATATATATATATTTTAAAAGTTAACTTCTAGGTCATCATTTTTACTTTCAATCCCTGCAAAGTTAGTGAGAGTCAAGCAGGACTGTCTTTGTCTCATCATAAACATGTTATTCGGCCACATTTTATAAAAGACATATCACGCCCTGGCTGGTGTGGCTCAGCTGGGTGTCATCCTGTGCACTGAAAGGTGGCCGGGCTGAAACCGGTTTGGCTCAGTGAATAGAGCGTTGGTCTGCGGACTGAAGGGTCCCGGGTTCGATTCCGGTCAAGGGCATGTATGTTGGTTTCGGGCACATCCCCAGTAGGGGGTGTGTGGGAGGCAGCTGGTCAATGTTTCTCTCTCATCAACATTTCTAGCTCTCTATCCCTCCCCCTTCCTTTCTGTGGAAAATCAATAAAATTAAAAAATAATAAAAAAATATATTTTTTAAAAAAGGTGGCTGGTCCCATCATGGTCGGGGCACAGGCTGTGTTTCCACTTAAGGGAACACTTCCCATCAGAGGATGACAGCCAGGAAGCTCCACTTCCTCTGGGACAAGGCATGGACTTCAAGCGGAAGCAGAGGAGGCCTGGACCCTGGGCACACGGAGCATTTCCCCAAAGTTGGAACCGTGCCCACGCCAGGGGCTCAGCAGCCTGGCCTGGAGGCAGGTGGCCTTGTAGACCCTAAAACTAATGTAAACTAGCGAAGAGCAAGGAACCCTCCCCTCTGACCTCGCTCAGATCCTAGGTCTTTACAAATGTCCCCATTTTGCACTCAACAGTTTCAACTACAAAGAAGCTGGGCTGTTACAGAGCAGGTTTCTATGGCAACCATTTCCTGCCGGTCCTAAGTAGTTCCAAGGTTAGGGCATCCAGGCCGCAATATATAAAGATACAGTCCCCATCGAATGTTGAATAAATCCACTCCTCATCTACTTCAGGAGAGAGCAAACCACTTTATGCCGAGTTTTTATCTGGTCAGTCCATTTTATATAGGTTCCCTTGGCTTTAATAAAGCTTAGTATATTCAAATAGATTAACTTTTAAAGTGTTTTGGAGCAAATAATTTGCGTTGCAAAAGAATTTGCCATGAGATCAGCAAGGGCCCTAAGCATATTTAAATATGACTAGCCAATCAGGTTTTAGGAATACGTGTTTTGAGTAAAATGAGCTTGTGTAAATTTCAGGGAAGGTTTTTTTTTTTTAAGTTTTGGCATGTGTATTTATGGGCCCACTTCCTGGGAGGATAGGAGAAACAGACTCCCTAGATTTATGAGCGATCTCTGGCAGCGAGAGCTGAGTGGCATTATAAAAACAATGCAATCTGGGACCAGGTGGGACTGTCTTCCCCCGGGACCTGCCTACCAGCAAGTGGCAGATTGGAGGACACATCTTTCCAGGTGGCATTCGTCCTTCCACATTCTGCTAATAAAGAGCGCACTTATGGCCTAAAATAGGTCATCGGACTTTGAAATGTCCACTTCATGCTGGGAGATCTGGCTACATTGCAATTTAACCACGTGCTGTTTCCAACGAGTAAAATTCCTCTAATACTTCCTTACTCATAAGCAAAAGAGATGAGAGTGAGTCATCAAAAAGAATAAAATAACAGTGTGAACGGTTTAACTAGTTCAAATAATTATACGTCCCACCATAAACACATTTGAGGTCAGTCAAATAATTAAACTAGTTGATACGTCTTTAAAAATTAGCTGAAAGAAACTACACAGACCCTTCCACCAAGAATGGGTGTTGGGTTGTAAGCATGGCCTCTGCCACGCAACATGATTCTCATGGCCAAGAGGGACCGTGTACCCAGGCTGCCTTACCTCCTATGGAGATGATGGCATCGAAGCCCTGATCCCTAAAGGGGAGGTTAAGGTTGTCACATACCATGACTTCACATCCCTTACTCCGGGCAATCTCTACCAACGGCCCGCAGTAGTCACAGCCCAGGGTGTGCACCTGGCTGTTCACTTTAAGGTACTTTCCAGTCCCACAACCTGCAAGAGAAACACTGTGTTACATCCTGTCCTTAGAGGAGAATGGAAACAATGCTGGTGAGCCTGTCTGATATCAAGAAGAGAAATAGCCTTATATGAACTAACTGAGACAGAATACAGCATGGGCTGAAGGTAAACACAGGAGCAAAAGCAAAGCCTCAGACAGCCCTTACATAGTTTCAGATAGAATAGGAGAGGGAAAGGGGGTTGGGAAAGCTAAATAATACTTATTAAATATTTAGCGAGGTAACGTCCATAGGGCGCAGCATGCTAGCAGAGCTGTTAGCTGGCCCGTGGCTGAGGAATGATTAGTCCCTAGCATTCCCTGGGGCAGTGTCCAGTCCCTTTACTAGAGCTGCCTTCACATACATATTTCATTAGGTACAGATCTATATGCTATGGCCTTCGTTCTCCTGCTATCTCTCTAGAGAGTCCTACAGCGTCACTGGTTACATAAAACAAACCACTGCCCACAACTTTTAAAATGGCTATAAAGACAATGGGCTTTTCAAAAATTTTTATTGGAATGGAAAAAAAAGATTTCAACCGTTTTTCATCTACCCTATCGTCAGTGCTCGGTTTCGTGTGACTCAGAATGCAACCTAAGAAAGAACTATCCTTTTCTTAAGTAGACCATTTTTGACATTTACTTTCTGATGGCAGAGACCCAAGCCATTCAACGATTACACAGCCCAGGCCAATCAGATCTCAGTGATATGACAGGGAAGAAGATGGTGCTGTGAATGAATCACCATCCTGAAACAAAGCCTTCCAAATCTGGTACCTGGTATATTCCAGCACAGATACGTCATCTAATTCCTTTTCGGAAATATTTCAAGACTAGAGGCCCAGTGCATGAAATTCATACACTGGGGCTGTGTGTGTGTGGGGGGGTGTTCCTCAGCCAGGCCTGTGCCCTCTCGTAGTGAGGGACCTCTCGGGGGACATCCCCCTTGCAATCCAGGATCCCTCACTCCTTACTGCCCACCTGCTCACTCCTAACCACTGAGCTTGCTGCTCCTTAGTGCTACTTTGGAGGCAGATGCTCCCACCTCCACTGCTGCACTCACCAGTGGTGTGCCCAGCTTCTGGCTGAGAGGCTGCTCCCCCTGTGGGAGCACACTGACCACCAGGGGGCAGCTCTTATTGGTCAGTGCGCATCACAGTGACCCGTCCTTCCGCCATAACGTTCACTTAGGCTTTTATTATATGGAGATCAACAGAACTGAGATTTGTTCCTTCTGGAATTACCTGTAGATTTTTGTTTCATATTTTTCTAAAATATAGCCACTATTCAAAGATGATTAATTTGCAGCTTCTGAAATACTGCTTAAAAATATAGTTTTTATTGATTTCAGAGAAGAAGGGAGAGGAAGAGAGAGATAGAAACATCAATAATGAGAGAGAATCATTGATCGCTGCCACCTGCACACCCTACTGAGGATCGAGCCCGCAACCTGGGCGTGTGGCCTGACCGTGAATGGAACCGTGAGCTGCTGATTCATAGATTGATGTTCAACCACTGAGCCATGCTGGCAGAGCTATCACACTTTTTATAAATAACTCCTCCTTGATAGGAGCTGTTGAAAATTACATGAGACACCAAAAGCATAATTAAGGTTTGCTGATGCCAGGTGAGACAGTGGATAGCTTATGAATAAAAAAATAATATTTCCAATGTTAGTATTTCCATGTAAATGGCTGGAGTCTTATAAATATTTCAGATCTCATGGTCACTGTTCCTAAGAATGCTTGTGAGAAAAAGTATCCAATATTTAAGCGCAATCACGGGGAAAATATAATATAATCCACAGAGTGTTTTAAAACTGAAATCCTGATTACAAAGAGTGTTTTTTGTTTTTAATCTTGTTTTTTTTATTTTTTATTTTTATTTTTTATTGGCTCAGGGGTTACATTTAGAGAAATGAAAGGAAAATTACTCCAAAAATACGAATAAAAACAGATTTACAGATGATTACTGCTAGAAGGAAGTGTTCCCAGAGCAACTGGTAATAATGAGGAAACCTAAGTCTTTTAAAAATTTCAGCGTCTCCCGAAAACTTCCCAGCGTGACTCATCCCACATCCCTCTCCAATGGTATTCGTGCCTAAGGACGGCAGTGGAGATCCCAGATCTGATGCGCTTATCCGTTTCCTAAGTGCACACGCAGGGATGCTAGAGGGGGAAGGATTTATCCTAACGAGGAAAGCCAGAACACCGCCCAGCCCAGTCCCCCAACCATTGTGAATGTGCAGGAAACAAATGAGAAGGTCTGCGATGCTGCAGCAGGCACGGGGACACAGCAACGTCTCATTAGATGCTGACCTTTCGTAGGATTGAGGAGGGACCGGCCAGTGTCTGCATGCCTCCCTTTCCCTCCGCTTTGTATGCTGCACTGCATGCATTTTGTGCGTTTACGCCCTTTTGGGGGGTGGCTCCCCTGTTTAAAATTCAGCGTCGTGCTCAAGTGCTGCTACGGTTTCTAAGCGCAGGAAGGCTGAGACGGGCCTTACAGACAAAATACGCTTTGTCCAGGCGTCATATAGGGTGGTTGCCTGTCAGCTCACTGTTAGCAAGTCAGTCAGAAACAGAAACACACATGGAACCAGGTGAGGTGTTGACCTGTTGACAAAAATGTGGCCAGAGGGTCCCAGGAACTGAGTCCTGCCCTTCCCCTGAGGGTTAGAACGCAGGATTCACTAATCCAGTGTCCTTGGCAACTTTATAGAACATAAATAATACTGTGGAAAATGACAATCAACTGTATTTTTTAAAATGCTTTCTGAGGTTTAAAAAAATATCATACAGAGAAAGGCCTTGCCAAAACCGGTTTGGCTCAGTGGTGGAGCGTCGGTCTGCGGACTGAAGGGTCCTGGGTTCTATTCCGGTCAAGGGCATGTACCTTGGTTGCGGGCACATCCCCGGTGGGGGGTGTGCAAGAGGCAGCTGATCGATGATTCTCTCTCATCGATGTTTCTAACTCTCTCTCTCTCTCTTCCTCTCTGTAAAAAATCAATAATATATATATATATATATATATATATATATATATTTTTTTTTTTTTTTAAAAAGGCCTTTTGCCTCAGAGTACTTTTTATTTTATTTATTTATTTTTAAAATCCTAACCCGAGGGTATTTTCCCATTGGTTTTTAGAGAGAGGGGAATAGAGAGGGGAAAACAGAGAGAAATATCAACATAAAAGAAACACACTGATCCGTCGCCTCCTGGTCTGGGGCGGAGCCTGCAACCGAGGTGGGTGCCCTTGACCGGAATTGAACCCAAGATCATTTGGTCCATAGGCTGACACTCTATCCACTGAGCCGAACCGGCTAGGGCTATTTTATCTTTTTAAATTATCCTTTTACTCTTTTTTATTTTGTTCTTTTAAAATAGTCTAGTTGTCCTCCAGTTCTTTAATAATTTCATTTTCTTATACTTCCATCGGTACTTTGTTTGGAATTTCTGATGGAAGGGATGAGAAAGGAGTGTGTGTGCATGCTGTTGTCCTAAAGCCATGTGTTGAACAGCTCCTTTTCCTACCAGCTGATTTTAAGACCCTGGGACTGTGCTTAGACTATGGATGGTAAGAGTTCCAAAGTCACTGTATCTTCTGAAACCAGATTTATTAAAAAAAAAAAAAAAAAAAAAAAAACCAACAACAAACACTGACATGGTAGAGATATTTTCAAAGACTCTATTTCTACATGACATTCATTCCTCCCACAAATTCCACACTGCTCACATCTTCAACAAGTCAAAAGCCCTGGCCAGGTACATGTGTTTCTCTGCCTAGCGCTTAGAGTGCATGTCAAATGAGGCAGAGTGTGTACATACAGACTTAGGACGCCATGGGTGCAATCTTCATGCAGCTGGTAGAAAGCACATTCGGGTGGGCAGCCTCAAATGGGGATCCCAGACCTTAGTCTTAGATCTACCGGGCTGTGGTTTACCACTCAATGCAGACACATCCTTAGCCCAAATCTGCCAGCAAAGCCATGATTACAAAGCCATGGTCTATCTAGAGATAGGCTCTAAAAATGAAACGCCCACAGAGTAGTTCAGCGGGAGAAATCCATGAGATTAATAAGAGGTTACAGGAAATTTGTGATCTCTGGATCTTCTGTGGAAGGCATGAGAGCCATTCAAGGTGAGCTATCTGAACACGCTATGTACACATGTGACCATCTCTAAAATTATAACAGTCAGCTTCCCAAGCAGTCATTTTAATCCTGATTTAGTCAACCGAGGTTGGAGGATGTGCCCTCAAATGCTGAAAAGATCGCCATTGTCTACATGTAAGTTTGAGGAAGTTTCCTACTTTGTGACTTGTTTGTATGAATTTCTGCTATAACGTGAATAAACTGCAGTGGGGGGTGGCTCAGTGGTTGAGCCTAGTCCATTGGTCAGTCAACTCATTAGTCCACAGAACCAAATATCAACAGTACAACGACTGACATTTCTTTTGAGAGCCACATTTTTAAAACTTAAACTTCTTCTAACGCCACTTCTTCAACATAGACTCGCCCAGGCCGTGGTATTTTGTGGAAGAGCCACACTCAAGGGGCCAAAGAGCCGCATGTGGCTCGAGAGTCGCGGTTTGCCGACCACTGGCCTAGACCTATCCCCGTCAGAGCACATGCATGGGTTGCTGGCTGGATCCGCAGTGTGGGGCGTGCAGGAGGCAGCCAATCAATGATTCTCTCTCTCTCCTCCCTTCCTCTCGGAAGTCAATAAAAGCATCTTTAAAAAAAAAAATAGAGGGAATGAGCTGGGTTACAGGCATGCCAAGGGCACCATTTCAGACTGCCGATTCGCCCGGGGAGGAGAACGGACTCTGGAAAGAAAGACGCGATGGGACCCCTCTCACCACACCGCGGCCCCGTTACCTATGTCGGCGATGAGGCTGCCTGGCTCCTGGTCCTGCAGGAACTGGCGGACGCGGGGCCAGGCTTTGCCCTGCAGGTCGCTGAGGCAGCGGGCGGTGCTCTCATACACGTGGTGTACGTGCTGCTTCTCCAGCTGGGCCGCCTCCTGGTCCATCCTGGGGAGACAGGGCCACCCCAACAAAGGCCGGTCAGAGAAAGCACGTGTCCCAAACCAGGGAACCTACAGCTGCCCGAGGCTGTACTGATCTTACACTTTACTAGACGCTGCAAAGAGAAAAACCTTCACCACAGCTGTCCAAAGTCTCAAAACTGGCCGAAACTGGTGAGGCCTGGTGGATAGAGCATCCGCCTGTGGACTAAAAGGTCGCAGGTTTGATTCCGGTCAAGGGCATGTACCTTAGTTGCAGGCACATCCCCAGTAGAAAGTGTGCAAGAGGCAGCTGATGGATGATTCTCTCTCACTGATGTTTCTAGCTCTCTATCCCTATCCCTTCTTCTCTGTAAAAAATCAATTAAAAAAAAAAAAAAAAAAGACCCAAAACTGCACCAGTTTTACTGGCAAATCTCCAGAAAATAATGGTTTGAGCTAGTCATTGTCACTTCCTGTGCGAGATCAGTTCTAAATGTCGGAAGCACATACCTAAGATTCAACTGGATAACATCATTCTGATGACAAACGGATTTTTAAATTGTGTAACGTGCAGCTCACCACTCCAACCCGGTCCCAAAGCCCGGCTGATTCTACCTTTTTTAGTGTTTCTGGATTCCAACCACTTCTCTGCATCCCTACGGATGCTGTTTCAGAAAGGGCACTTGTCTCTTTACCTGAATTACGTCCACAGTCTGTAAGCAGGGATTTTTTTTGGGGGGGGGGGGAGCCCTTCCATCCCTTTCTTCATTTCTGCCACAACTCTTTCTATAAAATAGAAATCAAATGGTGCTGCTTCGGAGCTTAGACTTCCTCACAGGCATTCCCTACTGGTCTGATCAGGTTCAGGTGTCTGAGGAGGGCGAACAAGCCTCTTTCTGACCTGGCCTTGACTTGCCTCTCGAAGCCATTGCTCACCCTCCGTCGCCAGCATTGGACGAGCCTGTTTCCCGGTTTCCCAGCGACACTTACCCCCCCTCATCCAGGGGCCTGCACGGGTGCTGTGTTTACCCCGGCTAACTTCTACTTGTTCTCGGCACAGCATGGTCTCGTCCAGAAAGCCTTCCCCGACCTTCTCTGCCTCCTGCACACCCCTCTCTGTGGATGTGCCCACAACCAAGGTACATGCCCTTGGCTGGAATCGAACCTGGGACCTTTCAGTCCGCAGGCTGGCACTCCATCCAATGAGCCAAACCAGTTTCGGCTATTAATCTCTTATTGTGCCCAATTTATAAATTAAACTTTATATGTGTATATGTGAACTTCCGATATGTATAGGAAAAAACATAGTGCCTATAGGGTTCAGTATTATCGATGGTTCCAGCCATCAAGGAGGTACAGGGGACAACTGTATTCTAATTTCATCCTTCCTTCTACAGCAAGGAAGAGACTTTTAGGATTCCCTCTTCAAAAAAAAAAAAAAAAAAAAATTAGGCGTAGGTTATCCTTAATTACCATGGATCCGCATACAGTCCCAGCAGATCTGGCAAACTCCTAACAGAGTACAGATCTCATTTGTGAGGTCTGACAAAACTTCCACCCAAACTGAAACAGCTTATATTGCACCCTCCACTAGAATTTACAAAGTAAACATATGGCAGGCTACAACTGCCCACACATAAGAAAGACCAAAACACGGCGTGCTTTTCGTTTAAACCAAAATCTCAGTAGACTAAAAGAAAATTTTTTTCAGTAGACTTAGTCTGTTTAAATGGTTTCCCTTTAGGAGATCAGTCAGGCAATACAATTTCGAGACCCTAGGACAAATAAACTTTATTGCACTTGCAAATGTTAAGTGGCAATCAACAAAAACTCAATTCCCTTCCATCTGGCTCTCACCACCAGCTCAGCTTTTGTAGTATCTGAACAACACCCCTGGAGAACGTTCTCTGAGTCCTCACCCAATTGCCTGGCCTCTACCATCAACAAGTAACTTCCAAGAGCTGTTTTAAAGTGTGGGAACAATAAAAAAATCTATTTTTTTGTTTTATTCTATTTTACGGTTAAGATTATACACTGCAGAACAAAGAGCTGATTGTGAAATTGATTTATAGAGAGGACTATCCAGTGTGACATTTTTGACACGGTGGATTTAAATTTCCTACAATATTTTCCATGTTAATTATATATGCAAATTCCTTGAGAAATCGGTAATGTAATCAAGCTAGCAAGACTCATAGGAAACTAAAAGTGCAGTGTTCATGCTGAAACTAGTTTGGCTCAGTGGATAGAGCATCAGCCTGTGGACTGGAAGGTCCAGGTTCGATTCCAGTCAGGGGCATGTACCTTGGCTGCCGGCACATCCCCGGTGGAGGGGGTGGGGGGGTACAGGAGGCGGCTGGTCGGTGTTTCTCTCTCATCGATGTTTCTGGCTCTCTATCCCTCTCCCTTCCTCTCTGTGAAAAGTCAATAAAATATATATATTTTTAAAAAGTGCAGGGTTCAAGGAGAAGCTAGGGAGACAGGGTGTGATGTAGCCAGGCTTCCTAATCTCTGTGCCAATTCTGGACCCCTGTAGCTGATGCCTTGTTGGTGAGTCATGAGAGAAGCAAAAATAATTTGAGAGGTAAGGAGAAGTCACATACAGTAATGTACTGAAAATCGGAAGACCCAATTTGGAGGTTTTTTTTTTGTCTTTATTGTTGAAAGTATTACATATATTCCACACCCCCACCCCCGATCTCTTTTAGGCCCTCACCACCCTACTGTCTGTGTCCATGGGTTATGCATATATGCCTACAAGCTCTTTGCTTAATCACTTCCCATCCACCACCCCTCCCCCGCCTTCCCTGTGAAGTTAGACAGTCTGTTCCACGCTTCTATGTCTCTGGATCTATTTGGTTCAACAGTTCATCCAACTAGGAGTTGTTTTTTTTTAAGAGCAATAGAAAGAGGTTTTAAGTTGGTAGGTGAGTTGGGGGGCAACATGGTTAGATTTACAATATTAAAATATCACTTTAGGTATATCTAACTCTGAGTAGGCTAGAATATCTATTGTCTTTATTTGTCCAACCAAATTCGCCTTCCCCCTTCTGATAATTTGTGTCTTGCCTTTCCTGGATGGGCGCATGACCTAGCCCTGGCCAATCATGGCATCCTATATTTCTGGACACAATCATTGGTTCAAGTGTGGCCAGGTGATAAAAGCTGAGCCAATCAGAGCCTTTCCTCGAGACAGCTCAGTGGAGAGCCAAAGGAATGTTGGCCTTGCCTCCGGCATCACAGAGTAAGAAAGGCGTAAAGGTCAGACTGCCACTGGCTATTTTCTTCCACAGGGAAAAGGCCTGTCTTTAAGGTGAAGAAAATGAAGTCAGGGGAGCAGAGTAAGAGACAAATGGAGAGGAAAAAACAAAACAAAACATGGCAGTACAGTGTCCTGCTTCCGGTCCCTGAGACTAGTCCTTGAAGTCTTGTGAGCCACTCCTTACCTTTCCTGATTCAGAGAGCCAATGAACTTCTCTGTCACTCCTCACATTTCCTATTGTAGGAAATTTCACTGAAGTCAGCAGGCGGTTCTCTCTCATCCGAAATGCTCTCCTATCACCTACCCCCTCCAAGATCTCACCTGGCCATCAAAGTCTAGCACAGCTTCCTTCTCCTCCATGAAGATTTCGTGGGTAACTATAGCTGAAAACAATCTCTCCCAGGAATTTTATGTGCTGCGTGTTTATTATCTCTGTCACTCTCAGGGCATTTCTCCTGATACCAACTTGAACTCTATACTCTGTATATGTCCCCAACTAGATTAGAAGATCCTGGAAGGAAGGAACTGAACCCAGGGCAGTCACTCAGTAATTAACTGTAGAATTAGAATCAGTGGCTCAATGAGCTGTTTCCTGAGCATCCTCTGTCAGACAACAGATTTCCTGCCCCAGCAAAGGCCTGTGTTAGAGCTATCGCCTAGGCATGCAACAGCCACACTTTTATCACTAAAAAAATGTAAATTATTCTCCTACTATAAACACCACAGAGGACGCAGTATTTAAAATGAGGGAATAAAACTCTGTTTTACATTTTAAAGATGTAAACTAGAATTCTAAAGTAAAAATATAAGTCAGTCAGGACAGTTCAAAGAATTTACTTAACTAGAGGCCCGGTGCATGAAAATTCATGCACTGGAAGGGGCCGTCCCTCAGCCCAGACTGCCCCCCTCACAGTCCGGGAGCCCTCAGGGCAGGAGGTGATCTGGTGATCAGGGGAAGGTGACCCCCCCCATCATACCTCTGCTGCTGCCACTGCCAGCAGCGTATGCATTGGCTGGCTCCCTCGGGTGGTCCTGGGTGGCTAGGCAGCCGCCATTGGAGGCTTGCCTGCACCTCAGGCTGGCCCTGGGTGGCTAGGGGGCTGAGAGGACTGGGGAACTCCAGAGGCAGGCGCACGGAGCGGCTGGACCCGCCTGGGGGCAAACCTGGCCATGCTACGTGCTTGCTTCCCCAGTGGGGCTGAGGGGAGTGGGCGCCACCATCTTTGATAGTCAATTAGCATATTCCCTCCTTATTGGCTGTGGGTGCTGCCATCTTTGTGAGTGTGTGATGGTCAATTAGCATATTCCCTCTTTATTAGATAGGATCATAAAATAATAGTTCTTTTTTTTTTTAGCTTTTAATAGGTGTTTCTTCAAATGTAAAATCTACATAATTACTTTCAAGTACAAATTACAGTACATTGCAAACTTTTTGTATAATAAAAAAGTATTATTTAGCAATGCTTTTTAAGTCCTAGACAAGCATTTTTGCACTCTAAAAAAAAAAACACACACGTAAGTACTGCATTTTCTTGTAATTTTAACTTTTTCTGTACAACTATTTTCAAATTCTTTTTTTCCTACCTAGTGTAAAAATAAATTCCAACTTTATATCATGGTCATGAACTTAAAATTATAGGAATTGGGATTAAGTAGGGTTACTGAACATGGACATGGCCAAAAATCTCAGATTACATAAATTGTAGGAATAGCTGAAAGCAACTGACCTGAGTCATCTTGTGATTACAGGAAAACTACCTCT